TGGCTGATATATATATATATATATATATATATATATTTCATATTCTTTCATCAACAGATAAATCATGTATCACTGTCCTGATTTTGTTTAAGAAAATCCTTGAGAAAACTGCATTGATGTTCAAAGACTATTAAATAAAAGGTCACTTAATTCTTAGACAATAAATATATCAGAAATCGTTTATGAAAATGATTTTTGTCGATACATCAAAAATAGACATTTCCGATCATCATCATGATGATGGGAAAAATAGTCGGTTATCTTGAAAGTTTTAATCTTTTACCGATCATTAGGATAAAATACATTAGTTTTAGTATACACGAAAGCTTATATTCAAGACAGACAATGAAAATTAATGGTTGGAAACATAATCTTAGTAAAAAATTCATGAAACGTCTCATTTCTTTTAGAAAAAAAATGTTTTTTTTCTTTTGACTATTTTGCTAGTTGAAGATGTCATTTAAGATTTATGATTAACTGAAATTTAAATCATAGATCATATCAATATTTCAAGTAAAGGGTATGTAAGTAGAAAGTAATTAATTTTCCTTAATGATCTGTAATTGGAATTTTTTTAACATTATCAGGATTTTCGATACTTAATGTAGATCACGTTTTGATTTTCCAGTACAATTTCAATACACCAAGGTTGGTGTAGCATTCAAAATCTTAATATATTATAGAAAACATTTTTTACTTTAGAGAATTGTTTTGAATTTCTAAATACCATACTTGTTGTTAAATTCAACAATCAACCGATATCAACACTTTAAAAAGCTCATTTTAACTTCTAAAAATAGTTTACACTTTTATCAGAAAAAGAGAACTAAGTTTAGACTTCCTGGACCATTGTTATGGCAGATAGTGTGAATTATTTATTGCAATATTTTTCCAAAAAATTTAAAAATTTGTTTCATTAAGCAATGAACATAAAGTGCGTATCATTTATTTAGTGAAAGTAATTGAAAGAATAAGTTTACTCTTATTTGACTTTTTTTTTTAACTTGACTATAATGAGTAAAACTCAGCACTGTTAAAATTTTCATTCTAAAACTATGGTAAAATTACCAGCAGCAGTCTGACCTTCCAATTAACCGTATAGTTTACGGTCAAAAACATTTTTAACGATAAACGGTTCAGAATATGACATTTTATGGTGTCATCGCTAGACTCGAACCCCATTCTGTCTGTCATGAGAATGACAGATTGGCCCTATCGGCTTTAATATGTACAAAACTGCCAGGAACTAAGTGGCTAGTGGCTAAGGTGGGCCTAGTTTGTATGAAAAAGTTCTGGCTGTTTAACCGTATTTGATGAAAGTTAATAAACGGTTTTTTCCCCACAGTAAATAGTTTAATTACTATCTCATTTATAGGTATTTGACTGTTTTGTTTGAATATGGTAAAATAGCAGTTTGATAAATTATTATTTAACCATTTTTTCTGAGAAATTTCTAACGGTTCAGAAGTTTGATGAACTTAACTTCTCAATAATTATCAAAAGTTTGTGTTTGAATTTAATGATCTCGTAAGATCTCAAAAAATCTATTTTTTTTCTTCTTTCATCTATGTTGTTTCACTATTTATTTATTTATTGCAGTAATGTTTGTTGTAATAATTGTATATCAATCAAATTTAGAATTATTATATTTAATATTTGTTTTTATTTGAATGTTCTTTTCGTGTGACAATTAATACAAAACTGAAATATCTTAAGATCATAAGGTTAAACATACTACAAACTAATGCTAAGTGTTATAAAAGGATTATGGAATGACATTAAATCATTTTGGTTTTCTCAATCTCTTTCTTTAATTTGCAAAATATTTAGAAAAATGTGTTATTCTCCGTTAAAGTTTAAATTTACATATTTCGAAATATTATCTTTTCCGTAATATCCATTTTTGCCGAAAAATATTATACCGTAATTTTTATAGTAATATTTATTCAATGATAGTAATTTTTGAGACTAATTTCAGTAAATTTACAAAAATTACGGTATGTCAGATTTCCTTGTTCCGTATCATTTTCTGGTAAAAATGGAGTTTTCGGTAAAAAGTATGAGTGCTCTGAGTGCTGGTACTTTTTACCGTAATTTGATCTAAAATTTTTCGTGCGTAATTTCAACATATCGCTATCTAAATCAAGTGAGTAAAACTTGTGAAATGAATAGTCGATAGCATTATACTATTTTGAGGCTTTTAATGGAGATCTTGATATTTATGCTTCGTTCCTATTTCAAATTTATTAACATAAATTTCCTTTTTGCATATTTAAACGAAAGAAAAGCATTATTTTAAATTATTTTTTACACTGCTGTTATAAAGCCATTTGTATAATTTATTTCTGGAGTCCTTAATTGTATTTTCTTAATTATGTACTTGTTTTTAATCATGTTTTACTTGATTACTGAAATTTGTATAATGGAAAGGACCTCTTATATGAATGGGTCGAATGTTTCATTCTTATTATAATAAATAGACAGAATTTCTTTTGGCCATCTAGGTACCAGAGTGATCAGGGTGTTTGACTGTGACGCCAAGGGTCGTGGGTTCGAATCCCGCTTGGGGCTTTCCTCTCTGTGTTAGCTCTCTGATGTGCGACGTGTGAATGTGGACCTCCCTATGGACCTGCATCTGTGGCAGTATGGTTCTGATAAGTTGATCGCCTCCATGACTCAGATTCACATGTGTCCACCTGATTATGGTAAATGAGCAACACTAGCTGCCTCTTCCATGGCAACGAGCGTAATATTTCAGAGTCAGCCCATAGAAAAAACACTTTCTTTAACATCGGATTTTTTTTCCAGCATACATTACTAAATGAATATGTTATAGATAGATAGGATATATTAACTAAGGAACAAAATTTTAAGCTTAAGATTTTTTTATTTGTTAATTTATTATTATTTTTTTGAACTTTAAGTAAAAACATTCATTTCATTTAAATTTATAAACGCATACTGACGTTTTTCAACTTGTTCAGCTGTTTTTATTATCTAAACGCGTATCTATAGTGCTATTTGTAGGGAATTTTTTACATCATAGAACAATAAGTGAATATGTTACAGATAAATATATTTATTAAAGTTAAGATTTTTTATTTACACTTTTTTTTTTGTTTTTTAGAAACTTTAGATCAAAATATTTATTTTACTCAAATTTACAAGCGATTACTGGCATTTTTCAATTCGTTCAATTGTTTCTTATATGTTTGTATCTTCTTCTATTTTAGTACTACTTATAAGGAATTTTCGCACTAAAGAACAATAAATGAATATGTTTCTGATAAATATATTTATTAAAGTTAAGATTTTTTATTTATATAATATTTATTTAACATTCTTTCATTTAAATTTATAAACGCCTACTGACATTTTTTAAGGATTAGTTAATTTGAGTGTTAGCGGTAGGGATATTTTTTTAAATACTGGAAGATCATGTGTTACTGATGAATATTATATATTAATTGATTAATCAAATTTTTAAGAGCTTCAAATAAGAATGTTTGTCGCACTCAAATTTAAAGAGCATACATTTTTTTTGAAAAATGCGTTCGGTTGTTTTCTATTTGAGTGCTATTTGTAAGCTTTATTTATACAGCTTAACAGTTTTCAAAAAAGTTCCATTACCAAATTACAAGAATTGATATCAACTCTCGAAAGCTTTATCTCTAAGAGGGATTTAAAGAGTTTAAAAAACGTTCTATTGGAAGCAATCAGATTAAATTTATATGTAGGTCGATTTTTTTGGTGAACTGAATATACCAGGCATGCGCGTTTGTCTACTTCTTCCCAGATGAATTGGAAAAGAATGCCTTTAGAAAAAGACGCCAACGAAGGAGGATGAACTCTGATATGCGTTCTTTCGTTCTCCGCCCCCTCATTCACTCTTTCCGAACGAAAAGAGGAATCTTCAAGATGAGAGAGAGAGCAAATCATCTGTCATGTGTTTCCCCAGACCACCACTTTTAGAGATATATTCAAGCGTTGGGGGATTACGTTGAACAGGTGGTTTTCTTTCGGCATGATATTTCAAAAGAAAAACTTAAAAAAGAAAAATAAATAAATAAAAAAAAAGATATGCGGGAGGGAGTGCAGAAAAAAAAAGCCAACAATACCGCCAAGAGCCCTTACAATAAAAAGGAATAAGATATCCAAGAAAAATAAAAAACCTTTTGGGAATTAAAGTGATAGATACAAAGACCTGCTGGTTGTACCTCAGTTTTTATCTCTTATTAAATGCAAGGGAATTACTCACTCCTTCGAAATGCAAGACAGTCCCTCTCAAATTCTTTTGAAAAACAGTTTGTATATGGAGATCTCTTAAAAAACAGGAGAGTAGATTTATTTGAGTGATGGTAGAAAGAAGAAAAAAATCTATCGCCAGGATCGTAAATCTAGACAAAAAGTATTTCATTCTATAGATGCATCCTTCTGTCAAAGCTTTTGAATCAAAACCAGAACTATTTGGCAATTTGTTCTAAGAACATGAAAAGTTCAACGAGAATGAAAAGGAATTGCTGTTCTAATTCAAATAAATGTTCTTTAGATTACCGTATCGGTGAATTCGAGGCATGACTTTAGTTCCTGGATTATTTTATGTTTTAGTATTGTGTAATAATTTATTCACTCGGCTTAGATCGCAATTTATATAAATATTCTGTGTTGACTAGAGAGAATAACAATATATTGATTTCTGTCTTGTATTGACTATAAAATAAGTATTCTGTTTAAACAAATCATAACATTGGACGATTTTAATTATATTCTTACATGATAAATTTAAGAAATTACTGCTGTGAAAATAATAGCTGAAAATCACTCTTAAACTTCCAATTTTAAATACCTTCAATACCTTAAAAACAGTGAGAATAAATTTTTTAAAAATAATGTAAGGACATACTTCACGCATGCTTTAAATTTTATTTTTAAATTAATTTCGTATTTTTTTTAACTTTTAAAACGTGATGTAGCACTATAAAATATGAATTTTAATCAAAATGTTGACAGCTTCAAATTAGGCTAAGGAAATGAAATTCTTCGATATGTTACGTTACGTAATTCTACGAATTATTTTAACACCAAAGATGTTAAATTCTCCTTTTTTTTTACTTCCTTGAGGTCGTATGTCTATTCTCAGCCCTTAAAGCTTTTTTTATCCGTTCCAGTCGTATTTAAGCTCCAAAACTCCACATAAAAGATCCACACTGTAAGAAATTTAAGATCAAATTACGTAAAAAGTACCAGAATTCAGTGTGCCCGTTTATTTATTGTGTATAATTTTCTATGCCATTTGATATCATGTATATACTTAAAAAACAAAAGATAATAAGAAATTAAAAAATAAACTTGACATTATGATCCAAAGTATCAAAAATAATATTTGCATTCATTTTATTTATAAATGTTTAATTACTTAACATATTAATGATTAAAATAAAAAATATCTTGTTAATTTTTGCAATAACTTCTGGGTATTATTTATTTATTTACTTATTTATTATTATTATTACTTGCTCTAGTTTCTTCATAATAAGTGAGTTTCAGGAAACATTTCTAAATAATATTTAGAGTGGAACGGAAATATAGTATTTGACACAAAAATTTTTAAAATTTGCATGATTTTATTTAAAATTTCCCTTTTTTCTTAATATGCAAGAGAAGTGATATATACAATTTATCCACTAAAATCCCTTCAAGAATATAAGATTAAATGACTTATGAGTTATGATGAGTTAACAGTAATATAAGTTATTATGAATTAACATTGATTTAATAATGACATTGAAAAACTTTTCATTAAATAAATATTGTTTGCATGTATTTATTAAATGCTGCACTTTAATTAGCGATACAATCATTTTAAATATTAATAAATTATACTAATTGATAAAATACAATATTAAGCAGTCATATAACCAAGTGACAAGACTGACAATATACCATTGATAAAAATACAAATTATTAAAAAATTGAAAAATATTTATTTTAATTATTTTTTAAACATCATTTAATCATTACGAACATTATTTATCTAAAATATGGATAATTGCCAGAAATGACGATTTCTCAGAAAAAAATTCGTATATATTATTGAAAAATATTAAACTTTCTAATAATTACATTTTCAGCTTCTTTTTAAGATACGTATTATTAATCTGCAATTATATTTAAGTGGCAAAACTGATAATTTATCACTAAAAAATATATATATTATTGAGAATTATTATTCTTTCTATTAATTACGTTCTCTTTTAATTGTTATATAATACTTTAAAATTATTCTTGATGAAACATTCCCCCTTTAACAACCTACCAATTACATTTATATGTAGCACTAGATGCTTACAAAGTGATCGACAGTCTTGCATAGATTAAACGAGATTTTAATAACTTACAGTAATAGATGTTTACTAGATGGAATTTCAGAGAACTTGGAAAAGTTTAATGCAATTCAAACTTCATAACGGACTAAAGTACTCAATCTATCATCTAGAAAAGTGATGGATTTTTGGACATCGAAAATGATGGAGCTATCTGAACAAGGTAGAATACTTGAGAACGTTTAAGGGAGTTTTGATGGTTTTCTGAACTTGGCACTTCCCTAAAATTGTGCACTAACTTGATGTGAAATGATGACTGCTTCTAAATTCGAATCCATCAAACTTCCATTCAGGGATAGTTTAAAAATTATTTAATGAAATTACTTTTAGGAAGATAAAGGTTTCTAAATTTCTTCATAAATTTACGCTTCAATCTGAGTTTCATCTAGAAAAAATAAATAACAAGAACGTATTTTTTTTAAACCGTTTTCCAGCCTTATTCTCATTTTGTAACCACAGAAAAGATCTATACTGAAAAAAATAATTGGTACCACATTTATGATTAAATTAAGTAAATATTTTATTCATTTAGTTACCGAATTGGTTTAATAATATAGCAATTTGAAAATTTCCGAACCAAATATAGATTAAAATATTTTGATGGATACGAAAGTTTTGTTGATCCAAGATTGATCTTAACGGGAAAATAATTGAATTACTAGTTTTTATCAGTTTAAAAGAGGGAGGAAAATGAAAGTTTGGCTTTTAGATGGTTAAAATAACGCCATTCGCTAAATTTTAATCAATTGCATATATATGAATAAAGAAATTCAAATTAAGATAAGTAATAATGAAATGTTTGCAAGATTAATATTAATAAAAATGTTTAAATAAAGTTTAGTTATCATCCTAGGATTTAAGAGTCGACATTAGGACTTAGAAAACTGCTTAACATGTTTTTTTACTGCATATTTTTCTTATATGTATTTTAAAAACTCATTCTTAAAAACAATATATAAACAACATTTTATCATCACCATCATTATTATTTAATATTAATTGCAAACATGATTACTCTGTATATTATTCTAAAAATTCTATAATTCGATCCTTTTTAAAATTACAAATAAAAACATATTTTTTACCAATCGTTTAACGTTAAGAGAAAGCACAACCTCAAAAAATAAAGCAAATTATAATTTTTTTTTAACTGTCTTATTATATTTTATGATAATTTCTTGAGGGTATTATACACCTGTTTTAACAACGCAGAAACCATTTTTAAAATAACATTTACACAAAATAATCAGTCTATGTTATCTAAAAGCAAAAATTATCAGATTCTACATGAAATTCAACCAATATTCGACAATTTGAATGCGAAGACATATGACTTTTTGTCGCCTGACCTCTCACCTATGAACTAGTACCAATTAGTAGCCGATAAAATCTAGATAATATTTTCCTCGCCTTAGTTAAAGCGATAAAAAAAGATTATAATTTGCGCAAGATGACGGTCACTTTTGAATCATTTATCCAAATTATTCTGTTATTAATCTCTCTTTAGCGGATTTCTCCAGCTGCTACTAGGTATTTATTTTTTAATAGTGTTTTTCTTTGTTTTTTTAGCGCTGTTTACTTTTTGACCTGAGATATAACAGGTGTTTACACGTATTTTTCTTAGTTTGACTCATTTAAAGGTATGTTAATTACTGATATCTCATTAATTTATTTAAGTATGCATAAAAATTTGGAATCTAGCTAAACTGTGAGCGGTAATTAGATGGCATGTGTATGCTGCGCAGTGACTCATATTTTGACAAGAATAAAGAATAGTAAATTTATTAAAGTAGTATCTCTGTAAATGATTTTTAATAAAAACTTTTATCTATACAATTTTTGAGTATTAAAGTACTTTGTAAAAATATAATGCTTAAAATTAAATACTTATTCTTTGCACTATAGTAAATTACATAAATTTATTTATATACTGCCCCGACAAATCATAAATAGGAATAAAATAAAAATGAGTTAATTATTTTATTTATATCTATAGAAGTAATTATATTTCATCAATATTTATAAAAAATTATGTTTAAAATAACAATATATTCTTTGTATGATAACTAGTTAAATAAATTTATACGTAAAGAATAAATTCGAAATAATTACTTCCTAACTATTTATAGAAACAAATTTAGATATATACAGAAAAAATATGAAATCCATTTTACTTCTTGCATATTTTACTTAATACACTTGTTTTTAATTTATATGCCACTGAAATGTGTTTATAAATTACATACTTATCCTTTGTGTGATTGTTGGTTACTACTTTCTACTGTAGTATCTTTCGTACGATAGTTGGCTGCTAATATATTTACTTACGCTCGTACAAAAGATAAATATGAATAAAATAAATATAAAAAGTTTATTTCATTAATTTTTATCTGAATAAATATGTAATGTGTTTGAAAATCAACTGATATTACCTTATACGTACATAATTTAGTTATACATACATACACTTTTTTTTAATCATTCGAAAAAGATGCCTAAATAATTACAAAAACAGAATATGCTTGTTAGACTAATTTTATATGAATAAATATGAATTAAACATAAAACTTGTTCAGCATGATATTTTGAATACACTTCAGTTATACTTTTTTTTTAAATGTTAAATTGCGCTAAAGTGTTTAAATATGACATGATTTTCCTTTATGAGACAATGTTTTTAATACATTTTCGCAATTGACAGTTAAACAACCAAATTTTTTTAAGTAGAAAGATTTTAATATTAAAATTAATGTAGTGATTTTGTAACAGCTTTTAATTCAAAGTTACATATTTTTTGAAACTCTCCGTGACATGCGTAGTGAACAGTATTATTTTTATGTTACTGTAAATAAAATTATTTTTGAGGCTGTTAATTTTTTCAATTAGTTATCATTTATTGGCACTTATTTATGCATATTTTGTAATTACTATTTATTCTATTTATTTAAGTCTTAGCACTTGAAATTATTTAAAAGCTGTAGTAATTAAGAAGAACTTGATTTGTTTTATTTTACTAGTACATTATTATGAGTTACATATTTGTTAAATTATTTATCTCTACTGGCGGTCAAATCATTGACGAAAATATTAAATAAAATATTCTTTTTCCGAGTTATTTACTATTTAATGTAAAATAAATTATAAAAAAAATTCTAGCAATTTATTTCTTTTAACGCAATTTTTCTGTAAAAAAAACTTAATGGTATCCTAAATTTTTAATAAAATGGTTCAGAATTAATAGCTTTATGATATAATTGGAAATAGAGAAGTAAAAAACGCAATTTTTGAATTGCCCCTTTTTATCAAAACAATTTTAAGCGGCGAGGTCCAGCTACTGCTATGACCTTTAGTCCTCGGTCAATGACGTCATGTTTTCGAGTGATTTGAGAGCCTCTCATATTACTTTTGAGATCTCTCACACACTAGATAAATGATCGGAGGGATTCATTAATTCCTCAAATAGAACTTTGTAATTAATGAAGGAAGATCTGAAGGACATTTGAGGAGAGGGAAAAGACAATGTCAAACGTTTTCGGATGATCGAAAATTGTTGGTTACAAGATTTCGAAGATCGCAGGACGCCCGGAATATAACTAGAGCCAAAATCAATCGAAAAACCGAAAGAAAATGACAAGTCAATACTTTATTTCCACCTGCTTCAACAAAACAGTAATCAATATTTATACCTTCTGTTTGTACGATTCAGAATTTGTAAGCTTAATAAAATCATTAGTGACTAATAAGTACCGTGCTGAGGGAGCTAAACTCTTTTATATAGGTTTGGAACTATTTTAATCGTAATGTTTCTTAGGAGATTAGTAACTATTTATCCGCAGATGTTTTCATTTTTTAATGATAAACAGCCCTAAAGTAATTGATATATTCCAGCTATCAAAAATATCCTACCCTAAAAGACATTGTCTTTGATTATAGCAATTTACTCTTTCACCATAAAACGTTTATTCTAAAGTTATTTTTGTTTATTTTATAAATGCATTTCTTTATATACATTCATTGCTTTATATTTTGCGCTATGCCTTCATTGTGTTATCTATATTATGGTTGTAAGATAGAGTTCTTTCGATTCAGTATCATCCTGGAATCTGTCATTTCGATTCTTCAAAATTCGAAAATGTTTCGCCATTAAATATATGTTTTCGCTTTTGTAACGATGAAGAGCAAAAAACTAAACATATGGATTTCAAATAACAAAAATATCACGTTAAAAATTTATATGGTTGTAAGATATTATGCTTGTAAGATAGAGTTCTTTCGATTCAGTATCATCCTGGTATCTATCATTTCGATTCTTCAAAATTCGAAAATGCTTCGCTATTAAATATATGTTTTCGCTTTTTTAACGATGAACAACAAAAAACTAAACATATGGATTTTACATAACAAAAATATCACATAAAAAATTTATTAGTTATTATCTTTACTTATATTTACACCAAATTGAGCACAAACTGAATGGAATTCATTTAAAAATTATTTCTTCTTATTTTGTGAAGCATTGGATAGATTTATCTTTATATTTAATACAGTTACATGTTGTGGTATGCATTCATTGCACCAATGTATTTTAATTATAAATGTTAAAAATTCCTTGGTAACTTTATCATTCCAAAATATTAATTTCTGATAACTCGAAAATGTATTCATTTTAAATATCATTTAAAAGTGTCTAAAGTATTTTATATGCTTTAAAAATATCATTGCTATCCATCATACCCTTATCAACAAGTCTACACATTTTTCCAAATAAAATCTTGTTTTATTGCAATCGATTTCTGCTTATTTTGTAAAAGAATTGGATATTTTTGTCTTTACATTCATTACAGCTACATTTTGCGGCATGCATTCATTTCGCAATGCGTATTATAATCCTAAATCAGTAATATCTTTCCTATTCTGATAATTTGAAAATGTATTGATTTTAAATATTGTCTGTCAAAAATATTTGAAATACTTTAAAACTATCATTCTATCCATCATACCATTTTTACCTAGTCTACGCAATAATATAATGTTTGAATGTCATTGAAACAATAGTAAATAAATTATACAATTTTGTTTAGTACTTATTTGAAACCTATTTTTGTTATTTATAATAATTTTAAATGAAAAGTTTTAAAAATGCAATTGGAATATTTCGTCCCTCGTACAGTGTAAGAAATTCCGAATCAAATTACGGTATGAAATACAGGCACTGGCATACAAATTGCTGGTTCTTTATACTGCAATTTGATCCGGAATATTTTACAGGGTATTTGAAATGATTGAGAACTCATTTGTAATTCAATAACTTGTACTTTTGAAAATTATCACTGAAAATGCATTTATTTTCGAGTTAAATATTCTTGCAATTATTTCCAATTTACATGAATCTAATTATAGTTGCAGTGTTTTTATGCATATATTCTAATTTCTTTCGTTTTAAATTGATCAGACTACCTTGTATCAAAGTTAACTATATTATTTATAAAATGTAATACAGTTGACTCGCGTTATAACGACCCCATCGGGACTGCCCCAATCTGGTCGTTATATCAAATGGTCGCTATATCAAAATGAGCAAATTTCCTTTGAAAATCGGTCACATAATGGTTTTAAACGTCATAATGCATGCATATATCTGCTATTTGTGGTATACATGTTATAAACCAAAAAAGGATAGGATGCATACATTAATAAAACATAATGACATTTCAACAATTGAATTACAACTGTTAACAATTAAGAATTTTATTTTGAAGTACAGATTAAAAAACATAGTATGACAAAAAAAATCTAGTTTCTAATGAATTAATTTTTTGATGTACATAATTTGCGGTATATATAACGAATTTTTTTTNCTAGGAATTTTACACCTTCTAATCATCAGGTTTAGCAAATTCCAAGGTAAAACTGTCTTTCTATTTAAAATCCTGTGAAATAAATATCTGATTTTGTTGTTATATGTCTGCTACAGAAATAATTAAAATTTTCTTTTGTTAAAATAATTTATTTTGTATTATGTTGTGTTTATTTTTGTGTTATCAACTTTTAACGCGATAGTTCTTAAGGTTATAAGGAGACAGAATTTATTTTCTCTTAGTAGACAGCTGAAGAAAAAGTAATAAACTAGGGATTTTACGATTTCTAATGATCAAGTTTAACAAAATGTTTTTCTATTTAAAGTCCTGAGAAATAAATGCATGGTTTTAATTTTGTACGTTTGCTACAGAAATAGCTGAAATTTTAACGTTTAATATAATTTATTTTTGCTACGTAAGAAAAGTATAATTGTTTTAAAATAAATTTGGTTAAATACAGATGGTAAATAAACTTTTTAAAGAAAGCTCATTTAAAAGTAGCGAATAACCCTTATTTCTAAAACTTTTACATACATAATTTCTTTAATTTTTATTCTTTTAAATAGTTTAACTTCACAAATTTCATACCAACTATAAGAACATATATAGAAAATTTTGTCCATTAAACTACGCTAATTGATATTATTATCATCTTTTATAATGTTTTTGAAATAAAAAAAATTGGAGTAACTTAATATTTTTAACATTAATTAATCACTGCTTCATTTCCTAAAACCACTAAATTGTTGTTTGCTTCTGCACATGCAAAAGGTGGGGGGCACTTTTAAATTCTCTAGTTACACTCAATTTGCGCTTTTGTTTTCATATTTTGTAATCTAGTTGTTCATGTAAGTACATCTGATTTATCTACTAGCTTTATAGTTTTTGTTTTGTTTTATACTGTTTTTTCTTTTTATTTTATTTTATTTTCTGCTTTTACGAGTTATTTTTACTTATTGTGTTCTATTTTATTTGTTGTAATTTTTGTAAAAAATTTTTTGAGTGCTCCTTAAACTATTGTATTAATATATTTAGCTTTGGCTATATTGTTACAATATCAGAAAGCACTCTTTTTTTTCGCATATAATCGTGTGAGCTGATGAAAAGATTATATCTTTTATTTTCCGGTTTTTTTAAAAAATTTCTTCTTCTTTTTTTTTCTTTTTTTTAAATCAGTTGCCTTTTTTTTTCATTATTATCCCCCCCCCCCTCCTTTGCATATGTCTATAATTTTCCTTTCTTTGTTTTATCTTCATTTTGAACTTATCTAATGAGTTCTGTTTACTTGCAGCTTATGCGCAATAAATGAAACTTAATGTTTTTCTTAACTTTCTTCGTGTTTTCTTGTATTTATTTATTTTGTTGTATATATATATATATATGAACATGAACTTATATATATATATATATATATATATGAACTTCTCTTTTGTTTAAAATCTTTTTACCAAATCTGATGCTCATTAATAATTATTATTTGTATAAATTATTATTCTTAAAAATTGTGCATAGTATCCGTTCAATAAAATTTCACCATTCGCTTTAATTTTCATAATGTAATTCGTATATTTAAACAGTCAGTCAATAAAATGGTAAAATATTCTTTCTTTTCTAATTTTTTAAAAAAACTTAGAACAATACACTTTATTTATGCACATTATAGGAATTCCTTAAGAATGCATGGGTATAAACATAACTAAATTCGCACATTTTAGGTAGATTTCCTTTAATGTATGTGAAACATGGAATAATATATATTTTACATACATTATTATGATTATTGGTTTTTAGATATAAATCATAATTTCAAAGCATTATTAAAAAAGGATCAAAACAATTACTTTTTTTCTGACATGTGCACATTATTTGCTATTTTAATATTGCGTGCAATGATATTCATCAAACTACATGAATAAAACAAAATGATATTTTCTTTTTTAACTTGTACATATTAAAATTTTTAATGTTTTATAATGTATTATTAATTATTTCGTAATAATTATTTATGTTTCGTATATTTTAACGAACATGCTCTGTATTGTAAATTATTTTCATGTTTGTTTTTACATTTATTTGAAATTTCTTTAAAGTTGTAGTTTCCTTTCGTTGGTAATAAATTATACTCGAAAAATCAATCTCGAACAATCCTATAATTTTATAATATCAAAATATTTCGCTCTATGAAATCAAAGGTCGTGCAGTTGAGATTTAATTAATAATAAATTCATCTGTCAAAAATAAAACACATACTATGAATGTATTAGGGTAATTTGTACAATGCTTATTATGCTATTCAAGAATTAAATATTATTAAAAAGTTTTTTCATAATTCATATGAATCCGTTTAAAATATAAATTTCTTGTTAAAATCTTTTTCCAGAGTTTAAATAGTTTTTAAGTAATAAATGCAGTAGGGTTTATAATGGAGCAATTTCTTATTATAGCACACAAACAAAAGTCGTACAGCTAATAATTAATAAATGATAAACTCTTATATCAAATATATAATTGCAAACGTATAAAATCCATAGATTTTGTATCAAACATGTTTGTAATGTTTTTAATTTTTAAATATTTTTAAATTTCTATTTTGTAATTTACTAGAATCCTTGTAAAATATAAATTTCATTTTAAAAACGCTATTGGGAACTTTTTTATTAAATGAGGCATAGTAAAAATAAAACAAAAGATACAGTTTTTATGGTAATATATAAACAAGAAAAGTCATGCAGCTAATTGAATAGTGGTCAAGTTCTTGCTCTAAAGAGAATTTATGATTGGCCGGCTGACGTTTACGCCCAAGGCGACATACCGTCCTATAGAATGAAGATCTTAAGGCAGTTTTTTTTCCTTCTGACCACCAAAACCGGTACAGCAAGAAAATTCTCGTTCCTGTATTGAAGCTTTTGAATTTAGGGGTTATTTTAAAGTTGTTTACAGTTTGATTTTTCGAAAGGATTAAATCTAAGAATAAAAAGATTTTATGCATTTTAATTTTTTATATCATGGATGAAAAAAAGATATAAAAATACTTTATAGAACGATTTTTCTCTCGGGCAAGCATCAAATACTTGGTTTAAGGATTAGAAAAAGATGGATGTTTTGGGATATTTTCTCAAATACGTTATATTTAAGGATAAAGTTCTTGTCTTTCACAAAGTAAAAAAAATGGTTTTTTAAAATTCTAAAGCTCTGTCGAGGGAAAAAAGCTTATATGCTTATTCAAAGATATTGTAAGCAAAGTGTTCAAAATACCACTTTAACATGATTTTCCTTTTTTTGCGTACGTTCTTACTTTTTATGAAATGCTTTAGTTTAGTTTTGAATAATAGGGTAAATGTTTCAAGTATGCCACGTAACAGTAATAGACTTATTTTAGCTTTGAACACCTTTTTTAATTTAATGTCTAAAAAAATAGCCACCAAGGATTAGCTGTTAATTTCTTTATGAAAATGTGCCAAAAATATTTCAAGCTTAACACTCACTACGCAGAATTTAGCGAATATTTTAATACTAATTTTTCACATATTATTATTATTATTTTTTTTTTTTTCTTATACTGTAATCTTCAAAAATTTAATTTTTAGAATTTGCACATATTATGTAAAATTCAGAAAATATAATGGTTTTTTTACTAATACAATCAAAATAGTTTAGTAATTCGTGTATTTTGAATGTCTTTCATGTTTTACATTTTCTATTTCCTTGTAAAAATATACACAAACACAATTTTTTGATTTAGGACTTCTCCGTAATTTGAAGTTCAATTATTATGGTTTATTGTTTTCTTTTTCTCTCTCTCTCTTTTTTTTATTTATTTATTTTTTTTTTGCGTGCACCTTTTTTAGCTTTCTTATTCTTTTTTTTTTTTTTTTTAAAAAAAAAAAAAAAAAAGCTGCGAATCAAAAAAGTAACTTTTATTTTTTTATAATTTAGTACAATTAAAATATGAAATATTTTCCATTTTTGACATTTTCGTAACGAAATAAGCCATATGAAAAAAAAATTCTTTAAAAATTAAATAATTGATTATTAAAATTAAAACAGACATAGAAAATTTGTGAAAATTTGGCAGAAAATGTATTTAAATGATAAAAAATTTTGCAAGACTTAACATATTATTTTCAAAAATTAAATACAGTGCATATTATCATATGTGGGAAAATTATTAGTGTGTATTAATCTCTAAAAATAATTTTCATTTTCCTTGAAAATATACATATATCTTTGTAGGCACTACTTTTTATCTTTAATAAGGAATTTAAGCTTAAGCTGATGTTCCTTAAGCTTATTTTTTAAAATTTCATTCTGCTTAAATACACGAGGATCGAAATTTTAAAAATACATAATCTAAACTTAAAACTATAATAATATTTAAATTTATTATAATTTAAACTAATCAAATTTCATTCTAATTCACTTTTCTTTATATTTTATTAATAATGTATTAAAATTAAACACACACAGCTCTCACATTATAATATTAATATAAATTTTTCATTAAAAAAAAGGCAATTACTCGATACTTCACATATTTTAAGTTAAGATTTTTGCAATTCTGAATTATTTAAATGTTAGTGTGTACGCATTACATGCTACGTGCATTACAATAAATATTTCAATCATGAATAAATTGGAGTAATTCTCATATAAAATGAATAGTTCTAACATAAAGTAATTTTTGAAGCTGATCACATTTTATTTTATTTTATGAAATTTTCAAGTAATTTCTTTTAAAATTTATAATTTTGATATTCAGTATGGAAATTAATTAAATAATTTTAATATTTTAATTATATTGCAAAGTTTTGCAACTATACATTTGTACAAATTTATTCAAAAGTATATTTCTTTCAGAAAAGTTATACTTAGTGCAGATATTGAACAAATTTTTTCTTTCTTCAATTCTGCCAGTACTAAGTAAATATTGCTTTATTTATATTTTTTTTTATTTATCTATTCTTTTTTATTATCCATTTTATATTTATTTTCTTTATATTTATTATTGGAGAAGCAAAAATTATGGAAATAGTGTTTCTTTATACG